AATTGTTAGATATTTTTGTTTTCTTCGATAGCATCTTATTCTGCCTTTTCTGAACTATTCTTTTGAGAATGTTCCTAAGTGGATATTTTTGTGTGGCGTCAATAATGAAAGGTCAATTTTGTAGAAATATTTGTCTTATTACAGTACAAAAATTGTGATTTTAATTCTTATTTTGCAGTTGTTCTATTCCTTCTTCAAGTCACTAGTGGGTAAAGATGTTGTTGTTGAATTGAAAAATGATCTCAGGTTGGTGATTACGTGAAACTTGTTATTTTATCATCGGGCAATAATTTTTTAGAACTTTATGCCTACTACTTTTTAAAATTGATATCCGTATAATCAGTTTCTACTGTCTACTGAAAATGGTATTCTACTTATTTATGGTGATATTAGCGATTGCCGTTCGATGATATTTACCACCGTTATCGACGGCAGCCGCTGAATAGAATTTAATCTGACTCGTATCGCCGTCGTCCAATTAGTGAGCTATTGAAGTGTTGTTTTATGTTGTGGATGATTGCGACTTTATGAATTGTGACAAATTTCAGTATTTGCGGTACATTGCATTCAGTTGATCAGTATTTGAATATGAAATTAACGGATATCTCGGTGGGTGATTCTGAACGATATCCGCATATGTTATCAGTGAAGAATTGTTTCATTCGAGGGTCGGTGGTTCGTTATGTGCAGTTACCTGCTGACCAGATCGACACACAATTGTTGCAAGACGCGAGCAGAAAGGAAGTGATGCAAGCGAAACGATAGTATTTGTTTACTGTTATTTTGAGTGTTTTCGTTGGTTGTTGCTGCTATCTCAAGTGTACGCTTTTTTTTCAGTTAGTGACTTTTATTATTGCCTTCAAGCGATCTATCGAATCACGAAATTGATCGCAGAAAGCACAACTTAACTGACAACATTCATCGTTATAAATGGATTGTTTTATCCTGATAATCTCATCGTTCTCTGAATTTGTCTTGTGTATCACGGCTCATTTTTTTGCGGGGAAAGTTTGCACGGAGGTGAAATTTATCTGTAGATACTGTTACTTGTAGTGCTTGATGTCGTTAATTAAACTTCTCGTTGTTATCAGTTGAATATTTCGCAGAATACCAAAGAGAATTTTTTGAACGAAATAATAGACGTTTTTGCGTTGTTCGCAATTCATTCACAAGCTTGTTTATGAAATAAGCATATTGACATATGCAGTATTGTGTCTTTTGTTTGGATGTTGGAAAACAATTGTTGGGTAGGATTCGATTGTCGCTTTTGCGAGAATTTTTCACTTGTCCCATTGCTGTCAGCAAATGCCAGATGCGATCAAATATTCACTGTATTGAATATTGCATGAGTTCTTTATATCATATTTGAGCATACCAACATCATTCATTCACTTCACTTTACCACTGATACTCTTGTTCAGATGATTGTTCTTCTCCCACGATATCGTGTGTTTGATTAAGTATGCACATTTATTCCACGTGCAGTTTTTCGTCATCATTTTCCTGGTCAAGGATTAATGATTAACAAAAGTCAGTGAGTAATTGGCGTTGCCATGAAATGAGTTTGGATAAAATAGGTCAGTTACTGTGCGGAATGCATTTCCGTAATTGGATGAAGTCATGAAAATGTAATTCGAAAACGATTTGCAATCAGATATTTTCACACGGTCACATAAGTAGTTACTTCAATTAGTGTTATATTTGTGGGAATATGGTAACTGTAAAAACTAAGGTTTCATATGCTCATAGCAAACGTTTTTGTTTAACTTGCATCAGTTATGAATGTAAACTGAGAGATGGCTCTTATTCATTCGTTCGTATGAAAGCTTGATGAGCGGAGAGCGCACGACAGTCACTTTTCAAATTTATCAACTAAAAATGTTCATGATTTTTGATCTCCACAAACTTAAAGTGTGTTATAATAACTCAAGTTTAAGAACATGACGAGTTGTCATTATGAGAAATGAGTTTAAGAATATGAAGATGATATTATCAAAACATGTGAAAACTGCTTGCGAACATTAGAATATATTTCACATATGTTAAATTGTTCCCTTGAGAAGACATATGCATGTGTATTAAGCAAGATGTCTATTGGATGTTACTCATTTTTTGCTGTCATTTATCATCTTTCATGGATAGTTTACTTCAGAGATAAATTGTTTTGAAGTGATCGCGCGAATCGTGTTGTTGTATGAATTTAAATTTGTATGCTGCTAATATTCGACGTTCATTAATGTTAAATAATGAAATTTACTCGGTGTGTACGAATCAAGGCATTAGCGCACATGGGATTCTTTTCGGGGATGTCGATGTTGTCAAGAGCATCGATGCATTAAAACAGGAAGCATGCAAGATCGCAAGCACTCATCAAGGATGGTTATCACAGTTCATGGGGTTGAGTATGTCAATCCTCTCTCTGTATGCCACTGATTTAAAAATTTGAATAATTGTTACTGTTATCGTTATTGTTACATTGAATATAGAATTCCATTCGTTAATATGAATAAAATTCATCATAATGTTGTTAGTATTACTTACATTCACGTTATATTCAACATTAATTGTAAGTATAATTTACCACTCATTCCTTTCATTTTTAATATCCATAAAGCTTCAGAATTCTTACTTTTTGCGGAAAGTTAATATTAACCAGTGCACATGTTTTGGTCTCCGTTTGATCTTTTGCGAACGCAGCCTAATGCAGGCGATTTGCCGTCTGTGATCTCGACTACGAGATACGTACGTCTGCTGAAGTAATGCGGAAATGGCTCGAAAAATTTTTTTCAAACACTTGAAATAGCAGCTGATTCTGATTCATGTTCATTACAAGCAATTTCCAGCAAAGGTTCAGCCAAAAATATTGAGTTGAAGCTAGCGCAAAGCCCTCAAAATTTTCAAAACAATAATAAATTGAGTCTTCTTCCTTGTGTCTCGATTTTTCGATTTTTTGTTTTTGAGCTGATGCTAAAGTTGATGCCTAGGAAAATCGAATTGAGCTCAAGTACCATTGGATATCAGACGAAGGCTTAGTTTGAGTCTAGAGAACCCTCAGCGTTTGGAGTTGAGCCTTCATAAGCCAACGCGTCACAACTATCTCAATATTCCATTTGCAAAATTACCACTCTGGCCACAAACTACCCATCCATCGATAAGAATCTTCGCAAGTGTTTATAAGTGTTCTATGACACTATTTATTGATGTCATGAAATAAATCATATATGCAAAGCAACAATGAATTGGAATGGTAGTTGTTGATGCTGAACACGAAACGAACTGCTTTAACCTAAATTGAATGCGTCAAAATTAAATTATTATACTCACTCAATAATATCAAATAATCTTGTCATTTTGTTACATTTTGATGCGAAGAGGTGGAGCATAGTTTATGTAGTTAATGCAGCTAACGCATATTCAAATTTGAATATGCTTCAAATATACGTTCATATTATTCGTTTATTTGAGTGGTTATTCGAGCAAAACGGAGTAATCCATAAAGTAGGTTAATCTATTAAGATCGATTAGTTCCCTGGAATAAAATTTAAGATTCACTTTTTAATCTCGTAAGATTCATCATTCTTCACATGGTTTCTTGACTATTATTGCTCCTAATGTCCCTGTTGATAAACCTGAAACTACTCTCCTGAATTCACACTTTTATATTTTCTGAGATATACCACATGACACTATCTGCTCATTTGTTTCATTTGTCCCGGCCCATTGACCCAATCAGATTGAATTTTCTCAACTTATTCATAATGAATAGTAAAGTAATGACAACCCCAATGACAATAATCTTCACTGAATTTTGA